AAGTTGTTAATTTGTTATTTGATAGTTGTTATCTATTTTTTGGATAAACACTAACTATTGAGAGTTGTTGATCTTATTTTATTTTTAACCCTGAGGGGTTGCTCAATTGGTCAGGCCTTGGGTTTGCTCCCCAATGGTCACCAGTTCGAGTGCCCCTAGGGTCATTGAGGTGAGTACCTGACTGTAAACTTTAGGGTCCCGTGGGATTAGTCGAGGTGTGCGCAAGCTGGCCTGAACATCCATAGTTATAAAAAAAAAGAAACATAAGAGTTGGTCGCTAGGTATTTGACCATAATATTAGTTAAAAATCTCATATTTATGATTGCAACAATTATGCATGGATAGAAAAGTCGTCAAAAATTTTATTCTTCAGTACTAGATAAAATATTCCGTTGATAATTTAGAATGATTTCTGTTGTGGGTTTTTTCCAAATTATCTCCCACGTCATCGCCATGTCAAGGGACGAACTGAATACGATCGCGACATGGTGGATGAATTGGATTAATCCTCTATGTGGCGAACGAATTGATTTCGCCCTCCGCCACATATAGGAAGAACTGATTTCGTCTCACCACTCGATGGACGAATTGATTTCCTTTGCCACCTCGGCGGATGCAAAGGCCTGCAACTCCACATCATTTCATCGCAACCGAAACTAAGTCCGAAGTGATGACATCCAAAATGCGATTATCACTCCTACCACAACCGCTCCACTTCAACCCTATATACTAGAAGATCTTTTGTGGAAAGCTCTCAAAAACCAAATGCTTAGAAATGATTGATGGGGGGACGTATATTAGACTCCAAAATGTCAAGTCACGCATTACTGTGTCGGGACATTAAATGAGCCTCCCACCTATGGATTGACACCTTTGAGAGGGCCTCCCTAGATTCAGAACCACCTTGGAACCCTAGATTCAGAGCCACGTGTTCCACCTTCAACGATTCTTCTCTTATTCTTTTTTCATTATAAATACCCACACTTGCACTATAGAAGTGGTTGGTCCTTGAAAAGAGAGAAGAAGCACAAGTTTTATATTATCACTACCCATAAACTCATCACCACTAAAAAAATCACATTCCGGTGAACATCACCGCTGGGCATCTCATATTCTGTCACCAACTCACTAATTTGATCGTCAGAGTGCTAGCGATCACTTCCACCCCTATCGGAAAAGGCCACAAGTGACTAACGGTGTGTCACTATGCACTTGAAGGAGTTCACGTGGAAGAACTCTGTTGACTACGTGTTTGGGTAATTTTTCGGGGTCAACGATTTCTAAATGAATTGTTTTTTTAATATTTATTACTCATGGAATTTTTCGTCTTATTTTCGTTTTTGCATTATATTATTTACTGAAAAGAAAGATTTCACTTTCAAGTCCAAATGGATTCTGTTGGGAAACTATAGTGTAAACATTTATATTTTAATATGACCACGAAAATAAAAATCCTTTATCGTTTCAATTATCATATAATTACTGAAACTTTTTTGTCAATATAATTTAATAGTTTTATTTTAATCAATCGACGAAAGTTTTATGTAAAATAATTCTTTTAAGATAAGTTTTTAAGTTATCATCGACATATAGCTATGACGGCATTTTTTAATTTATATTTTATTTTTGAAAATAATTTTAAGTTATCATCGACAAATAGCTAAGTAAATATATATTAAAAAAAAAAATGTTGCACTCTTCTACCAATTCCTTCAGATAATTAAGCTTCTTGCCAGAATCTGACTTTCATGCAAAAAGCCAACAATTCGCAATCACACAACTATCGTCCAGAGACGGACCCAGCACCCGGCGACGGGGGACAGTCGCCCGTGCTAAATCCGCCGGGAGCTTCAGTTTTCTCCGGGCGCCTGAAGCTTGAATAGTTGAATTGCAGAGAGGCGCTGGGTGGAAGAAGATGAGCAGGTTTTCAAATTGGGTTTTTTTTGTTTTAAAGTTTTGGTCCTCTTGATTGGGCCTCTTTTTCAAAAAAAATTTAGGTCCAAACCTTAATTTCAAAATCAATTAACAGGTCCAAGCCCATTAAACCATTTACCACTATCCCAATTCCCATGCCAAATATGTTCCAAACACAGCTGAATCAAACAAACCCTCATGTTGGCTGCTGCCCTGCGGCTGCGAATGCGAACTACGAACTCAGCCTCTGCGACTACGATGGCCAGTGCGTGCGTTGCGACCGGTGAGTGACATGAGTCTGTCTGTGACCTGCTCATTTTTTGTATTTGTAAAATCTACGTTACTTACTTCGAGTATATTTTGGTAGCATATTGTTGAATGCTAATGTCGATTGTCGTGTTTATTTCCTGTTTATTGAAGCTAGAAGCTTGTTAAGCCTAAAGTTCTGGACTAGCTCGATAGAGTTCTTGATGATTTTGGCCCGATTGGCTGCAAAGCAAGGTTAATTGATTTTTCATTTTCCTTTTCATTAATTTGAACATATATATCACTATTTAATTGGATATTATAGTTATGTACATTGTCTTGCTACTTGCTACTGAAACGACAATTGGCTTTTGGCGTGGGTATTGCTTGCACTAAAAATTTAGGACTATTTATGCAGGATTGAGAGGGAAAAGATAGCAATGTTCATCCCCCGCTACCCATTGTCTTCCAGTAATTCCAACAAGGATGGAACTTCATCTTCATCACCAAATTTAGCGGGTAATATCAGAATTTATGCTCAATAACATGCTTCGAATTCAAATGGAAATAATGGGCATTTTTGTTCATTTGCAGCATTTAATGTTATTTTTTCATTTGATTTTGCTTATGTGGATGATTAAATTTTAGCATTTAGGTAACAAGCAGTGTTTTTTTACGTGCAGTGCCAGATTCTCTCAATCACCAGGTAGAATCCTTGCTACCAAACTGCTACCCAAATCTCTTGTTACTCCCAACTTCCTTGTAAGTAACTTCAATTCTTTTTGTGATCTTACGGGTTCCGCTATTTAGTGCGTTTATATATATATATTGAATATTTTTTAATATTATGGAATTAAATATTAATAAATGACTTCACTCTTACGAGTAGATGTTGACCGGTCAACGTCCGCTCGGGCTGGGATAGTTTGCTGGGTTCGTCCCTGCTATCGTCCATTCGAGACTTCC